GGTGCCACCTCCCTGGGCAGGAGTCCAGGTCCTCAGAGGAGCAGGGCGGAGGGGAGCCTCCCCAGGCTGTGGGACCCCAGCCCCACCTGCGGCCACGAGGATCTGCCATGGCTGCCCCTGTGACGGGGTAAGGGTGGGGGAGGTGGATTCACCATCCCTTGTGCCTTGGGCTCAGAACTAAGAATACTCTGGGCCATTAGCGGGGATGACAGTGGCACACACAGCTCAGTGCCACCGTGCGCCAGGCAGTGCGATCACTCGCTCCTTCCCCAACACACCCCGTGAAGTCAGGGCCACCCTTGTCCTGATGGTGCTGGAGGAAATGGAGGCACAGAGAGGTTAAGTAACTTGCCCAAGGACACACAGCTAACAGACAGAGGCTCCCCCCTGACGTCTCCCCACTCTCCTGGGGGACTCCAAGGGAGGGACTTGTCCACGTGCAGAGATAAAATCCCAGAGGAAAAGCACTCAGGAGATCCTAGGCCACGTGGCCTTGCCAGATGTCCCCAAACTCTGAGAGGGTCCAGCTAGAGCCTGGGGAAGAGAAGCTTTGGTTTTTCTTGAGAGAAGTGAGCAAGGGCTTCGGGAGTGGGGTCTTGAAGGATGAGTAGGAGTTTGTAAGATTTAAAAAAAGATGGTGGGGCGTGGTTTGTGCACATGCCTGGAGGCTTGGGAGAGCTGCCCCAGGGGACTGTGAGAACTTGGGTGAGCATGAAGGGCCTGGGGAGAGGAGGTGGCCACCCAGAGGGCATAGACGGTGGGCTCTGTCCTGAGGGCAGTGGGAGTCATAGAGGGTTCTGCAGCAAGAGAGGACGGAGGGCAGCTTTGAGTGTCAGAATAGGCTTTGGCTCTGGTCTGCAGACCACAGATGGGGCTGCAGGGAGAGGCCAGGGCTGGGGTCCAGGCGGGGGACCAGGGCTGCAGGGCATGTGGGATTCGTGGACCCTGAGGCAGGAGAATAAACGGTGCCCGTGCCCCCATTCCACAAGTCTTTACTGAGCACCTGCTATGTGCCAGGTACTGTTCTAAGTCCTTGGGACCCAACATGGAACAAGACGGGTTAAAATCCCTGTCCTTGCCCTGCCAGGGGTAAACTCATCCTGAGCATTTATGGAGCACTTGCTGCATGTGCACAATGGATGGAGAAGGACCATACGGGGATCCCAAGGAGCCCCGCTCAGAACCCACCAGGGAGCTCCGGGCAGAGTGTCCCACCCAGGTGGAGATGCAGGGCAGCGGGACCTGCCGTGTTCTCGGCAGAGAACGGTAGTCGGACATGGTGATGGAGTAAAGAACATTCTGGAACATTCCGGAACATTCTAGAAGATTCTGAAACATTCTAGAATATTCCGGAACATTCTGGAACATTCAAGGACTCAGCACCTTCCTTCGTATGGACCTCCTCACTCTCACACGGAGCCTGCGTTGCCCTCAAGGCACCCAGGAGACCGAGGCCCAGAGGGCAGTTGACTTTTTCAAGGTCGCACACCTTGGAAGGAGCCATAGTGTCTGAGCTCCAAGCTCCAACATGTCACCTGGGGTGGGGCCTTCCTCAGCGACCCGTTTACCCAGCATCTCCTGCTGAGAGCGGGGACCCCTCTGTTGTGTCCCCAACCGGTGTACCCCTCTGGCTTTGTCCAGGATCCCCATTCCTGCTGCCCCTGAGCTGGGTCACCTTGGGCGAGACGGCCATTCCCCTCCCCGGGGACCCTGCCTCGGTTTCCCTCCTGTGTCCCAGGGCAGGAAGCCTCTGGCTGCTCCCCCCCCAGCCCTGTCCCTGGGCTCGCTGCCCTTGAGCCGACCTTGACTCTCGGGCGCCCACATTTCCGTGTCTTGGCCGAGGAGTCGGTGACTCATAAGCAGATGTGCTGGGCAGGTGGGCGGGCCAGGCGGGGCGCGTCGCCAGCACACGGGGACAGCCACACAACTGGGGTGCCTGGGGTCCCCGAGCAATGACCTTGGGCAAGGTCCTTTCCCCTGGCTGAGCCCATGAGCCCCGTCTGCAGGATACACTCGTCAGGGAGGGTGTGCAGGCAGCTGGGGCCCCTTGGCGTTCCCGTTGGGGACAGAGGTGAAGCCGCCCCAGACTGGCTGGCGGGACCTGAAGCAGAGACAGCAGGTCCCACTTCTCCCCAGGCCACTCATGCACCCAAGGTCACTCCGCCAGGCACAGCCCGGCTTGACCTCAGGGGCCTCTTGGCAGAGAATGGTAGTTGGACATGGTGATGGAGATGAGGGACATTCCAGAATGTTCCGGAATGTTCTAGAATGTTCCGGAATGTTCTAGAATGTTCCAGAATGTTTTTTTTTTATCTCCATCACCATGTCCGACTACCGTTCTCTGCCGAGAACACGGCAGGTCCCTCCGCCCTGCATCTCCACCTGGGTGGGACCCTCTGCCCAGAGCTCCCTGGTGGGTTCTGAGCTGGGCTCCTTGGGATCCCCGTATGGTCCTTCGCCGCCGGACATTACACCTTGGTGTAGGACTTCAGGGTTCTCAGTCTTTTTTTTGTACTGCAGATGGAACCCAGGGGCCCTCGACCACAGAGCCCTGTCCCCAGCCCTATTTTGCCTTTTATTTAGAGACAGGGTCTCCCTGAGTTGCTCAGGGCCTCGCTTTTGCTAAGGCTGGCTTGGAACTCGCGATCCTCCTGCCTCAGCCTCCTGAGCTGCGGGGATAAACAGGTGTGCGCCACTGTAACTATTCCCCACGGAAACCTCTGATCCAGCTTAGTTCCTGGCAGGTATAGTGAGTGCTCAATAAATATTTTTTGGAGTGACCAGGGAGATGGAGCCAAACCATGTTCCGGCTGAACACCGGCACGTGCCTTGCCTAGAGTTCTCAGAGGAGTTTGAAAAAACCCAGAACAACAACCACCACCTCAACAAAAAGCTTTGGGAACGGACAACTTACATTTCAGAGGAAGAACCTGAGGTTCAGAGAGGCCCCCTGCACGACTGTACCCTCCAGGGGGTGGGGGGAGGCTCAGAGCAAATACCAAACGACGCATGGCGCACCTTCCCCAGTCTTCTGAGGGTCCCCAGGAACAGCAACAGGGGACACCCAGCCCCCTGGCTCCATCCTTACTTGCTGGGCCACCTTGGGCAAGCCGTTCAACCTCTCTGGGCCCAATTGTTTATTGGAACTCCGCCTCGTTCCAAAGGGACCAACTGTTGCTTCTGGCCATTGGCTTGGGTCAAATCCAATACAAAGGAGCTCAGTGGGCAGATGGGGGCAGAGAGCGGAGCGCGGATCCTGTTTTCCTACCTGGCTCCTGGCGCCTCGGTCCCCCAGGGCCCCCCGCACAGCAGGCCCACAGAGAAGCAAGCGGCGGCGCCTGAGAGCTCTCCCGTAATCCACGGGTGACCTTTCAGAGGCTTCTCATGCACAAAAGTAAATTCCAAGGCTGCAGCGAGAGAGACCGGAGCGAGGCAAAGCTTCCGCCCGCCCATCTGTAATTGCTCATTTAAATGCATCTGCACCGAAAGCAAATGTTTTCTTAAGTGAAAGGGCAGCTGGTCCTCTAAGGTCTGTGGGGTGTTCTGTCCCTCCACGAAGGGGCTGAGGAAGGGGACGGGGCTGGGACTTAACCACCGAGCCCCATCCTCAGCCTGTTTTATAATTTATTTAGAGACAGGGTCTCACC